AATCCTTTGGTAAATATAGGTTGTTCTATGGTTATGGGTGATGTTGGTAAAAAGTCATGATGAGATTTGAAGTATGTTGGATGATTTGACGAATACGGTATTTTGGAAGGTGAAGTGAGTAGACTTCTCTAAGAAGGGTAGAAATGGAATTCACCTTGGTTTGGAATCATTTTGGGCGATGAGTGTGAAAGTTTAAGTGATGACTTGCTGTGACCTTAGAATAAAAATATGTGATGCCTAGAAGAGGTTATATAGGCTTGCTCCTAAGGGGGAGATGAAGTCCTTAGATAACAGGGTTGGTGAGTGTTCTCCATGTCATGATTTAGGTTGACTTGAATTTTCACCTTATGAAGTATAGTAAGTTTGAAGAGTTTAGACCTGGTTTGGTAGACTCATATGAGATTATGAGTGATGTCCTAGTAAGGGTCTTAGTAAAGGATGCTACTAGAGGTGACTACGAATACTCTCCGGATGAAGGTACTGGTATGCTGGTAATTTCATGTAAGTGTAAGTGTTATGTGGTATTCCGAAGATCTCACTTGTTCCACTCCTTCGAAGGATGGCTTGCTTGCGAGGTGGCGCGGCCGGGGTAATGCACCCAGGCCTGCAGACAGATCCCTAGCTTGGGGTAGACGCCGACCCCGTGGTAGAGAGAGGGCCGCAGAATCAGTCCAGGAGAGAGAGGAGGATCCAGAGCCAATAGCAGACCCTTCATCACTTCGTATACCAGATCAGCCGGTGGGCCGGGGCCAGCCCAGCCGCCACCCGGACTAGGGTTGACTCCAGATCTCCAGGCCGCTATTGCTCAGCTCTTAGGTGTGCTTAGGGGGATGCAGCAGCCACCGCCCCAGCTACACCAGCACTAGTACTGTAGGATCAGCCTAAAGTGAGGGCACCTCAGGTGCAGGTACCACCTTAGGGAGTACAACCCTTGGCAGCGGACAAACCTATGCCGCTTTAGGACAAAAAAATGCTTGGTGTGTTTCTCATGTTGACACCACCGAGGTTTTCTGGGGCAGTGGGTGAGGATGCCCACGAGTTTCTTACTACTTGTCGTGAGAGGATTCACACTTTGGGCCTTGTGAAGTCTAGAGGGGCCGACTTTATTGCTTAGCAGCTAGATTGGCCAGCCAGGCAGTGGTGGCGCACATTCATTCAGACCAGGCCAGTTGGATCTTCCACCAGTATCATGGGATGAGTTTTCTGAGGCCTTCTTGGCCAAGTTTATCCCTCGTAGGGTCAGAGACCGCCTCAAGGATCAGTTTTCTAGGTTGGAGCAGGGCTCCATGTCGATGGCAGAGTACGAGACTAGGTTCCACGAACTCTCCCGTCATGCCGAGATGATATTACATATAGAGGAGGAGATAGTTAGGTGCTTTGTTCGTGGGTTGAGACCCAGTCCTTAGTTTCTGCTGGTCGATATTTTTTAGACGTAGTTGACCATGCTAGTACTATGGAACATCTTCGTCGCGAGGCCCAGAGGGGTAGCGAGAAGACGGCTAGGCATGAGGGAAGCTACAGTGACTCCCGCCCCAGGTATAGAGATTATCATGACAGGGCCGGATGACAGTTTCGATAGGGTCAGTCTAGCAGACCTACACAAGCCTCTCTTTAGGCATCAGATAGTGGTCAGAGTGAGGCTAGTTCGAGTTAGGGCCCCGAGTTGTTTCAGTCGGGTTCTTCAGGACGTGGTAGTCGTTCTTCTGGGAGTCACCCTCGACAGGGTTGCTACGAGTGTGCTGAGATGGGTCATTGGGCCAAGGACTTCCCTCATCATAGTCGGATTGCTCCCGCTCCTCATGCAGCTCGCCAGCTTTACCATCACCTCCAGTTAGAGGTCGTGGTTAGGATTAGGACCGTAGAGGTGGTCAGCAGGGTATACGGGGTGGGCCCGAGGAGGCAGGACAGGTGGTAGGTTTGGTGGGCAGGGTAGAGTCAAACATGGCCATTTCTATGCAGCTCCAGCGAGGGTGGAGGCTGAGGCATCAGACGATGTGATCGAGAGTACTATTCTTTTATCGCCTTGGCTTTATTTGATCCAGGCTCTACTTTTTTGTATGTTTCTGTTTACTATGCCTCTCGATTGAGTATGATGTCTGAGCCTCTGGTAGCACTGCTGCGTGTATCGACCCTCGTGGGTTAGTGTTTAGTAGTGGATCAGGTATTTCGATCTTGCTTAGTTACTATCCAGGGGCGCGACACCAGGGCTGACCTTATATTTCTTAACATGGTTGATTTTGATGTGATTCTGGGCATGGACTGGTTATCCCCTTTTCGA